CACACACACACACACACACACACACACACACACACACACTAACAGAACAGACACACATTTACAGAACTCACCCCCGCGCTCCTGTCTTGTCTCAAACTCTTTGTTTGGGCTTTAAAACCAAATGTTTAAAGGCAGAGGACGAAGGAAGACAGATACCTCAAGACGACTGTGAAGGAGTGCGCGAGGTGAGAGGAAGAGGAGAGGGAGGAGGAGGAGCTGCTTGGCTAGCTAACAATCCTCTTAGCCTGGTTATGTCATGGGACCAAGCTAATCCTACCTTCACTGGCTGACCGACACATACACACTGGCTGACTGACCAGCAGACTGACCAACACAGAGATACGCGCACGGCAACATGGCCGATGACCGGCTAACCGACATGCACAAAGCAGTCTGTAGTCTGGGGTCGAACACAATGGCTACCATGGTTGAAAATAGCTTGTTAGTGATGAATAAAAAGCTGCTCGCATGAGGTCAGCTGCTGTTTTTACTACATGACTCGTTATTTTGCAGGGAAGATAACAGGATAACGCAAGCTAGCAAAACAAAAAACGCGGTTAGCTAACGGCAATTAGTCAGGCTAGTGACAAACGGATAATTCCTATTTTATTTTTTTTCTCTCTGACTGTGAATACAGTAATTACACTCTATGTATATGATATTGTGTACCACATGTGTGTGCTACGTATGTGTGTGTGTGTGTTGGTTCGTACTGGCGTAGAACTATAATCATCACTGTCACTAATCCGTGGGCTAATCCGCTAGACATACAAACAGACGTGCACATACGTTGCACTGTATATATGTGAATGCTCACACACGCACCAAAAAACCTTTTAAATGTTCGAGATGCATTCCCTGCATTAAATGAGCCGAGTTTAAGTACATATGAGACCCAAGCTCTCGCTAACATTGAGCCTGTAACACTTACTATTTGAAGTCTACCAAACATCACAAGCAGCAGCTTATATTATAGGAATTTCAAGAAACGTCAGTCAATAGATTAACGGCGGGGTTTTTTCGAAGGCGGGAGTTTTTTCGAAGGCGGGAGTTTTTTTAATTTATTTGGACAGAGCTAGGCTAACTTCCAGTCTTTATGCTACGCTATGCTAAGCTAAACTATTCTTTTAAGGAGTATTTGTATGTGCAGCTTTAAGGAGGCTTGTGTAGGCAACAGGTTTAAATAACTAAAAGGTAAAACAGAGGGTTTAATAAATATTGGACATTTAGGTTTAGAGAATAGTATTTGGTAAATCTGATCTTTCTCGTGCTCTAAAGACACTGTGTATATATAGTATTTGTGTCGATATCACATTGAGGTACAGGTCTTTACCATAAACCTTAGGCGTATACTGTAGGTTTTGGAGATGAACTGAGGCTTTCAAAAATATCATTATAAGTTGCAGTGTAGAGATCTTTATGCACACAATGCACAATAGATCCTGGATGTTGAGATTGAGTTTATTAGAGATGCATAACACAGCCTGCCCTGCGCCCTCAGCCCAGCCAAGCCCTGCTCCTGTGTGTGTGTGTGTGTGTGTGCGTGTGTCTCCACCTACCTTGTCATCAGCACTCTCTGCTGCTTCTGTGGTCCATCTCTGCTCCAAAGGCTGCGGACTTCCTGCGTATAAATGAACGATGACAAGAAAGTCTCAGCATGAAATATTGAAACAAGGTACGGGTGAGATGAGCCTTGTGGCCTGCTAAAGATAAATGGAGAGTCACTTTCCATGACACTGCATCGACATCATAAACGTACTATTTCCATCAAAATGTACGTATTGCAAATATATTTGTACCTTTTACAATTTGTTTTTAATATTGTACAACCACATTTTGATATTTCCCACATCAGTCTGTTCTTGTCTCAGTGTTCTACAGTGTATTCTACATATTACTGGGTTTATGTGTCCTTATTTATATTCAGCCTCTCTTAAGGATGCAGAGAAAGTTGTTGGCAACTTGCCTGAAACACAAAGGACACGGTGTCGCAATAAGACTGTTCAGGCCATATGGCTATATATGTTTCACACACGAAAACCATGTAATGCCACTGGATGCAGATAAAACACATTCAATTTTGAGTGGGAAAAAAAAAGTGAAATCTCCCCGCATCTTATCCTACACCCAGCTCCATCTTTCTCCCTGTGTACGATCTAAAAATAGCATCCTTCCTATTAAGTCTACTAAGACCAGACAGGCTTAATGTGGGCTAATCCCAGCCAGCTCCAAGTTTCACCTCCAGTCAATAGAGCAGTCAGTGCAGTAATTGAGCTGACGATCTAGTATCTTACAATCAAGAAATAACGCAAAACAGTATTTACATTCAGTTAATTAAGAAGTATATTTAACAGAGAAGCTATCGTTAGATTGCATGCTATCAACCTGCCGTTGACTATTGTGTGTTGAATGGCAATCATTTCTATCACAACCACATCTGTGTTACAGTCTGGTGCTGTAAACAGGGGGAAAGCAGTATCTTCCCTCCACAGCAACACTTTTCTTTATCTGTTTTAATCTTACTCTAGATCTCACACTGCTGCTCCTAAACCTATTACAGATCTGCTGGCACACGATCTGTGACCGGGATAGAAACCTGCACCAAGAACCTGCTCATCGTCAACAGGCCGTCGGATAGGAACGAGAAAAAGCATGAACGGGTTTAGATGTGTTCACTAAAGCTCAGACATTATTACAAACAATCACAACACACGTGGGGAAACCTTAACGGCCTCGATGACTCGGATGATTTGAAAATAAATCTGTGTTGTGATTAATTTATTATTCACAGAACACTTCACGGCTCACAAGCCGTGAAGTGTTCGGTGAATAACGATGGGAGTCTAATGAATGGTAATTATGTTTTTTAATGGATGGGAAGGCATCAGGTGGTGAGGTTGTCCTGTCCCCACAGCTATCACAGCAGCAGCCTATAGCTAACATGCACTATAACTACACTAGCATTCATTCATAAATTATTTCATGCTGAATAAGTTCAACAGAAAAAGGAAAAGCATCCATTGCGACTGTTTTTGGTTCAGCATCAATGCTTAACGCTGAATCCATTATGAACTGTCTGGTCTCCCCCCCGGTTTACCCTGTTCATGTTACGCAACACTAATCATCTTATCCGGCTAATTACTGACTGAGCCCCTGACCTGACCTCTAAACCTCAGACACACCACCGGCTCTCTGTGTTTAAGAGTTAATGGTGCTCAATGCTGGAAGAAAAATATCTATTTGTGTAGTCAGCTAATATATTCATACGGGACGTCTGGGTGGACCTGTCGTGTGTGTTTGTTTTGCTGCACCTTGCGTCCAGGAGGGGCAGTGTCGGAGGTAGAAGCTGACCTCCGGCCTCCGGGCTCCCCACTGCTGGAGAAGGTCCAACAATAACACCTCCTGAGGGAGAACTCGCTCTGAGGAGAGACACAGGGTGAGGAAACGTTAGCGAAGCTACTGCAGGGCATGTCTTGTTGTGGTTCATCCATGAAAAAAGATGATTTCATTATAAAGATGAATACATATTATTTACACACTTTAATAAGAAGTTTAAGTTAATATGAAATTGTCAGTACATTTTCACATTTACAATTAACAAATACACTGTCTGAATAAACTGTTTTCATCATTTATTTATTTTACTATTATTAGTAGTAGTAGTATAATAGTAGTACTATTAGTATTATTACTATAATTATTATCAGAATTAATATTGTTTTTTCCTTTTCAGGGGTTTGGTGTTATATTGTAATTCTACCCCTTTTCAGTTCATTAACCCCTTTAAATCAACCGTCCCCCTGATTGGTCAGTCGTTACAAAACCATGCCCAGCAGCCTAACAATGTAAATACTCAGGGACTTGTACTGCAGTTTTTTCGTCCAATTGTAGATCCCAAAGTTCCAAAAGATGCCAAATATGTCCAGCTGAACTTTGTGAAAATGTGTATCTCGGGTTTGAATATTTGACTCATTTTAACCGTTAACGCTACTTAAATGGGAAACTAAAAAGAAAACTGGATGTTGATGGGTTGTATTAAACACAGCGAAGCTTACAATAATGGTTACCTATTGTTAAAAGCTTACTCCATGATACAAACAAACAAGGGGTTAAACCACCATTGACTTCTATTATTAGTATTCTTTATCTATAACTCAAACTCTTCAATTATCTGTAATTGTTATTTATATGATTCAAGCAGACAATCTGAAAAGATGCAGTCATTGTATTATCCATAAATAACAATACACGCATGTAGACAATGGCTTAGCGCCGACACACACACACCGGTGGTGAGGTCAGTTGTGGCCTTGAGGTATGGCCTGTCGTCCCACAAGCGACACAATTCATACCAGCATTTATTCTGTGCCGCTTCACAGCGTCGCCCTCTCAGAGACAGTATAGCATCAGAGGCATTTATAGCCTTCCTGACCGCTCAGTCACACCACAGGGCTGCACAAACACACTGTGCTGTCGCTACTTCAACAGCTATGATTGAGTGAATGTGGGCCACGCTTTAATAGACAGTCGCTCCCAGTGTTCTGCCTGTGATGGACCGGACTATTCACGCTCACAATGGCATGCAGTGTATACAGTCCGCACTGTAATTGATTCCCCGAGGTGTGGCCGGGATGCAGGTCTGACTTTGTTTACAGTCGGCTTCGAAAGCCGGTGATCTAGTCCAGAGTCACACTGTGATTATCCTGTCATAGAAATCCAGATTATAATCATGTAAATACTCTAAAAGCACTGTCAAGAAGATGTCAATAGTAATTATATTAGTAATGGACACAATGATGAATAATGTGTGTGTGTGTGTGTGGAAATACAGGTCGGACTACGATGAAAACAGCAAAACAACAACAATAGAATCATATCCGTTTAATTCTTCTAATTATCGCCAAGCAGTCTGTTGGCTAATGCTCATGGAGAACTATGTCATTTATATATATACTGTATACACAATAGCTTATCATCTGCATAGACAGACACTTTCTTAAGATCTTATTTTACCTTTCTTAATTATTCTTGTCTGTCATCATTCCTGGCTTGTTTTAATTGTTTTAAATACATTCAAAATGTCAACCTTTTATTGATCTCACTTGTGTAAATGTGTAAATGGGTGTAGATGGATGCATGGGTGGACTCACCATGCCCGTTCCATACTTCGGCCAGGTGACACTCCCCCTCCCCGGCTTCTTTGCAGTATTCAACAACGTCGATCACTCTGGTAGCCGGAGTCACCGGGACCTCGGTCAGCATCTGCTGGGTGTCATTGAGGTAAACCGTCAGGATCACCTGGAACCACAGAAACAAGCGTGTTAATAAACGTCCTGAAAGGTTGCAACGTTTACCACCTGATTGGAATCACGTATGACTAACTACTTACCTTGGCTAACTATCGGTTTACTCAATCAACACATCGTCAATGATAACTACAGATACATTACTCAGCCCTGCTCCTATCTCAGCAATAACAAGCAACATTCAGACTGAAGTGGAGAATCCAGGTGAACACTTCACAATGAGCCCAAATAAACCACGTCTGCAGACAGTGGAAGATACGTTAAGAGTGTTAGTCCAACAGAAACTGCATTAAATCCAATCTGGAGAGGCCCATTTCAATCCAGGAGGTTTAAGGCAACCTGGCCTGGAAAGCAGTAAAGAAAGCTGAGCTGCAGATGTGAGTTTTAATCTAATTAAATATTCAAGAATCTTCAAAAATACAACAATGTTAATGTGAAGTGACCGTTGACATCTCTGGGAAGGTAAAAGAAGCAGCGGTGACAGCTGCTTGTAACCAGATACAGCCGTCCATCTGACTGAACAACACATTGATCACAGCTTTAATGACCTATCAATAAGAGTGCAGACACACACATGCAGTCCCCTCTGGGGTTGGGACAGAGGCTTAACCTGATCTAAATTGAATACAATGAAAAGGTAATGGATTTTGTCTCTGGGTAAAGAAATCAAGTTAATTCAAGTCTTAAATTATCTTAGTTTAGAATAATATAGCACATGACAATATATGACTTCAAAGTATCAGCTGGGTAGCAATGATCCCCTTCTGAAATCCTCCCGATTCTGCAACCAAAAGATTAAAATAGCAATCAGAAAAGGACATCCTGTGTTGTCAGCCAGTGATGTCATCGCCGATGTCACCGGTGATGTCATGTCAGATAGTCAGTCGAAAAGATAAATTTAGGGTAATCTGGGATAGGAGCAGGCACACATACACACATACAGATACACTTTGACTCTCTCAATGTGGCCTCCCTCTCTCTCTCTCTCTCTCTCTCTCTCTCTCTCTCTCTCTCTCTCTCACACATTTAAAATATACACTGAACAGTAATCCACAGTATTCCATACACCTGTCCCAGATCATGCGAAGTAATCTCTGTTTACATGCAGACGGATTGAGCAGGGACAAGTTCTCTGAAGCTTGGATTAGACACACACACACACACACAGACACAGCGGGGGTTTTACTAGTCCACACATCATTTGGAGCGCGGCTAATCGTGGCCTCACGAGGCCTGTGATGTTTCTGTTCCACATGGCACAAAATGGCATTTGTTTCACTGTCGGCAGAGATGAAAGGTGCGTTTTTTATCATCAAATCGTTGGTGTTTTTTCTCATTTGAGGCAGATAGCAACAAGAAACTCATCATTTCCTTAAAAACATGATGCAAAATTGTCACTGTGAATGCAGCACACACTGTCATTTGGCGTTGGTTCTCATATCTGGCACCATCATAGAGGTCTAGTAGTAGTAGTAGTAGTAGTAGTAGTAGTAGTAGTAGTAGTAGTATCAGTTGTCCAGGCAGTATCAGTTGTTTTCCCAGTACGTTCGTTGTTTTTGCTCGTAATGATACTTTTGGGGGAGTGGCTTTGGAGGGAGGCCTGATGTCTGTCAGTGTTTTGCCGACTTGGCGACTTTCTTGCTAGATTCAGCGACTTTTGGAGCTCGTGCTGTGAGCTACTTTCATTGGGAAAGACTTGGCAGCGCTGGGCTGGCTTTTTCGGTTGGATACTTTTTTTTTTTTTTACAATGTAGCGTACTCTTGCTAGTTTCTCGACATTTGACCAACTATAGTTTCAAACTCTGGAAACGTAACAGAACTACAAACGTAGCGAGATGAAAAATGGTCCGACCTGAGATCACTGAACCGGACACCCTCTGATATTTCACATTTCACTGGACTGCATTCACACACAGTGCTTTACCCAAAGCACGTGACATTTTGCTTCTCATTCTCCCCCCCCACACACACACACCCATCAAAAGTGGCAAAGCTACCATGCAAGGAACTGGCCTTATTATTTGGAGCATTTGGGGATTTTTTGGTATAAATTACCCTGAAGCAGCTGAATGTAATTCCTCCTGAATCATGTTAGAAGCCCTGCATGCTGTTAACAACACCCACACTGTGGACTTTCAACATGGCCACTACAGTTTAGATTACAACACTGTATTCCACCCGAAAACCCCTCTATAGATAGACCAGACTATATAGGTCAAAAGCAGGCCAGATTCTCCAAAGCACCGGACCTTATGTTGTTGCTTACCGGCATATTACAGGTTTATTACATCATATCTGTATGAGACTGAACGTGTCCATCTCTATGCATGCATAACATCACAGAGCATATCATGAAACGGAAATCTAAGAATGTTTCACCAAGTGCGAAAGTAAGTCACAAGTACACCTAGTTCTGATCATTGTGCATTTGAACACGATGAACTGTCAATGAGGACAACTTATTTCTGTCTATCAGTGGACAGGACTCACATCAAATAACACACACACACACACACACACACACACACACACACACACACACAGGCAGTTTGAGTTGTGGTTTCCTAAATCGCCCCTTGGTGCTGAATGGAGTGAATCCGGCTATTTTAGGCATTAGAGAGGGAGAAACAGAGTGAGACTCCATGCAGACAAACAGCCTCTTCTTCTCTTAGTTAATATGTCGCTGCAAACAACCACATCAATGCTCATTTTATTAGTTGCTCCGGGGCAATGTCAACACAGTGTTTTTCATTTAAGGCACAGTGGCCCCAGCCTGATACTAAACAACAGCAAACTCACTGCATGACACCGCAATGTTAACTTGAGCCATCCTGTAGTGATAGAGTGTGTCTGAGTCAGAATAAAGTGGAGCTCACCGATGGCTTGCTGTCTCTGGTTCTGAGCTTCTTCTTCTTCTTCTGTTTCCTGCACTGACTCAGTTTGAGGTTCTTCGACACAAACACCAGTCGCTCAAACACCAGCGCAAAGAAACGCTTCATTGGAAAACCATCAGCCAAAGTGTGTGTGTGTGTGTGTGTGTGGTATCGATAGATATTGAGTGGTGTCCGGTAGAGAAAGTGGCGTCTTTGAAGGGAGAGAGTGTGTTTGGAATGTCAGAGTGCAAGAGGTACGGAATACAAATATAAGAGCGCGTGTCAGTGAGGGAGGAGGGGAGGGAGGGAGTCGCCTTTCAGTAAATATGAGGGGCGGGAGAGAGGGTGAGGAGGAGAGGATGATAAGAAAGAGAATCGGGACTCTTTTCACGGATGTTAGTGGGAGTGGACCGGTGTATTAAAATTATGTTGGTTTTTATTAGAAAAGACGATATGGTCCATAAACACCATCCACCTCTGGTATGATGGAGGCACTCCTCTTCTTATTGTTAGTTGTCAGGTGTGACATTAAAGTGATTGGAGTCTGGTGGGAGGGTTTCACTCGTCAGCCTTGAGGCCTCATGGACCTGTGCTATTAACTTGTTTTGCTACTATAGAAGTGGAGCAATTGACCCAGTTTACAGTTGTCTACTACTTCCTCATTATGGTGTTCATCCTAACAAAATAACATTATGGATAACCTTAAATAATTGCATTTTTTTCAGAAACATGTCAACTTTACATGTTGTGAATATATCTACTCTTTTACTTTTCATGCTCAAATGCATACATTGCCATATTTTTCGATTCACTTCTTATCTATTTAAATATTTGTTGACGTAAGCAGCTGTCTGCTTTAGTCTGATCTAATCTGAATCACTGTAACGATTTATTCTTAAAGTGTTCCTCTCAACATTTTCCACTTCCCAAACAATGATACGTAAGTTCGAGCATGTGACAACTGATTTGTCGAGTCTTTAAAAAAGTCCCAGACGCTTCAATGCCAAAACATTTTTTTTTTTTAGCTCTGCGTCCAGCAGGGCTGGAGCCGGCCGGGTCGCTCAGGGTCACGACTAACACACTCACTCACAAGATCATTAATAGCACAATACTGGAACATGTTAACATATTGTATTTATTCTACTTGTATACTAATGATTTGCTTTTTATTTGAATTTAATAATGTCATAATTATGCCTGATAAGTATTTCTTAGGAAACAATTAGCAGGACGTCTAACTTTATTTAACTGCACTTTAACACAGATATAAGATATACAATTACTGTAAAAGAACAAGAAAAAGCCGTAATAATATGCTGAATGACAGACATGACCACCAGTGTTGACCTGACTTGTGGAATGTAACTAAAATAACCCTGAAAACATTACTTCTCCATCTTCTGAACATTGACAGCATTAATGTTCGAGTATAAATATATCTGTGTGTGTGTGTGTGTGTGTGTGTTGCCTGGTCATGGTGTGGAGTGAGGCTGTCCAGAAGCAGCAGTGGTAATGCTGGAGGGGAGAGATTAGAGAGAGGCTACACTGATATACTGCAGCATGGCTGCACACACACACACACACACGCACGCACGCACGCACGCACGCACGCACGCACGCACGCACGCACGCACGCACACACAGAAAGGACACGTAAGGTACGTTGGCAGAAGAGCTGTCTTGCTCTCTGTCAGACACACACACACACACGGTCACATGCTTGGTGCATGTGCTCTAAACAGAAACATTGATCCCGGTGCTGGATCTATCGGAATTGACGGAAAATCAGTAGACAGTGCCGAGGAAAACCGATAGCAGGGAGGAGAAGCAGAAGACATGCATCATATCAACATTATACTAAAACCTGTAGGATTCCTCAACACACCGACAATAACAAACAACGCCCTAAACTCGGATTTCCTTTCCTCTTCTCTTCCCTCACACACACACACACACACACACACACACACACACACACACACACATACTTTTGGCCATCATTTTGAGCATCATTAGACAATTAAGGAGTGGGGTACAAATGATCATGAGATTCATATCAAAACAGTAATGTGAGTACTCAGAGGGAATAAAGAAGTACTGCATTGTAAGAGAGAGTGTTTGTATGTGAATGTAAAAGTGTGTGTGTGTGTGTGTGTCTCCGCTAGAACTGGGATTTTTATAAACAAAATGTTCTTCCAAGTTCTTGCAAAGGGACAGTGCTGAACTTCCACCCACTACAGACAAAGATAGTCAGAGTCAGATTCACACACACACACACACACACACACACACACACACTGACTTGAAACAGTAAAACTAGTAAAGGAATAAGAAAATATACATAATTCTATAGTTGAAAAGAAAAAAAACACATTTATATTTGGAACATTTGTGTTTTTTCTGTACAGTAAAATAAGGTGACGGTGTGTCTCGGTTCGGCTACTGACAGTGTTTAAAAGGTCACATGGGCATGTCACCATGCTCATCAGCTGTCACCAGCGGCACACTGAGAGCACAGCTGGCTGAAGTCACACCAAAACCTCCAGGTTCTGTTCCAGACGGAAGAAAAGAAACCCTCATTCAGAAGCCTTTTGACAGCGTAACAAAGCCAATACATTTAAAAAATCCTACCTTGGAACTGAAGATGAGACTGGTGATTGTTGATTATTTCTGTTTTTAGCAGCTGCCCTTAACAAACAACCCGTCGTGTCTTTAACATCGCGTTCTAAAGTCACTGCTTGACTAACGTGAGTCAAGGGGCTGCAGGTAGCCACGCGTCTAACAGCAGGACAGAGACGACTGAACGCTGCGGAGGTTTTCACACAGCGGAGGTTTGAAAGTGTTTTACAGAGCTGTAGTTTTAACACTGAAAACTTTGTTTCAATTTCTTATAGCACGTGTATGCATCGTCTTTGATTACGGAAAGTAAATTCAGTAACGCTTCATTTTTCCAGGAAGGCCCGATGAAAGAAATGCTGAATGAGAGACTACTGTATATTGAGTAAAAGAGGACGCCAGACAGGACGTGATGTCATGATTTCATCTCGCAACAATAAGTCTTTCAATTTGTAGAATTTGTTTTATTCATCAGGTCTGAGCTGAGGCCTATCCGGTTGATTATGCGTGGTGAAGACATATCTACAGGTTCCCTTTGTTTTTGTGTGAATGTGAATTATGTAATAGATATGATTGGATGCTGTCCAGGCTGCTGTAGCGTTTTTTCAAGGAGAGTTATCCTTTTCAGTCCATTCCATCTGTCAAACTCTTCTTATGTCTGCCCAGTCCAGTGCATTGTCCCGACTCTTCCCATGTGTTTTGTTGCAGTTCCTAAAATAAATCGCATCTCTTCCTGCAAGATCTTGGGCTTCACCTGAACTCTCTGTGGTCTTAAATCAAATCAGGAAGGTGTATTTGAGAGCAGCTGGTGGAAGCCCACGCAATCTTAATTTAATTTCGGAGACATTTCAAACAACGGTCTTCTCACTAATGATGCATCATGGGAGGGTAGAGCAGCTAGTGTGGGAGTAGAAGAAACACCTGCCGTTTAAAAGCCACACATGAAGACGTCCTATTTCAGGCAGTGCATCAACCAGAATCAGGAAAGTATTGCACACTGAGGAGAAAATAGCTCCGCTATACTGTGTTTCCAGTGAGGGAGCTTCAAGTAACACCTGCTAATAAGAGTCTATATTACATTACAATTACGCTTTAGGAACTGGGCTGTAACGAGCAGACACGATGGATGAACGGTGGAATATACTTTGATCACGTTCTGAAGTGAATGTGCTTCTTAAATCTGCATCATTACAAACAAAAGGCAAGCTTCCCTGTTGGCAGTGTGTGTGTGTGTGTGTGTGTGTGTGTGTGTGTGTGTGTGTGTGTGTGTGTGTGTGTGTGTGTGTGAGCGAGACACAGTGGAACACAGTGACAGCTGGAGGTGATTTGTGTTTCAGACACCCCAGCTCCCACTGCCCACACCCAGACACATAGCGCTGTCTCTATAGGAACTGCATGTGACCGGTGAAGCACGAGCTTCCAGCTCATTGAGAAAGAAGCAGCACGAACACACTTCTGAAGACGTATACAGTACGTCTCGCCGGGTATGCCTCCGAATCCTTCATGTCAACTCATGGACTTTCTTGAAACATTCTACAAATCACGTCTTTTCGTTACGTCTCCAGAACAACCTCCCAGAAATCCCGCAGCGATCTCAATCAGCAACAAATAGTTCCAATTTGCCCAAAACAATTCAAAACCTGGGTCTATAAACTATTGAAACCATTTTTTTAGTCGCAGGATAAATGTGTTAAACCCTGCAAAGGAACAACACACTTAAAACAAGCCCTATACAAAGTTCAGAGCGTGTTAATTGCCTCCACTCGGCTCTCAACATGGAGAAAGCCGAGCCGGCAGCTAGCAGCTAACAATGCTAACAGCATGAACAGCGCAAACACCCGGTGGGGCACGCTCACATACACTGACATGAACTAAAACGCATGGGCGGTTATATCAATTAATTTGTGCAACATTTTCAGTTAGCTTAAAACTTTTCCTTTCGATATATAACATGGTAACAACAGACCACCAAACCATCAAAACGTCCGCTGTCGGCTCCATGCTAACACCGTGGGATGTACTGTACTTTCTTTGTACTTAGTTCTAACATTTAGCATAATGCTATATAGCGTTGACATCTTTGCTAAAAATGGAGAATGGCTAATTGTAGCAGCTGCCACATAAATTGTAAAATTTAAAATTTAAAATGCGATGAGGCAAAACTTGTTAGCGACACATTTGTTAACACAAGCACAGCACTGCTTTGAGCTAAATGCTAACACCCGCATGCTAACACACTCCAAGTGACAATGCCAACATGCTGATGTTTAGGAGGGAATAATGTCGCTCACCGTTTTGTGCGTTAGCATGCTAACGTTTGATAATTAGCATTAAACATAAAAGTGAGGTTGCCAGTCATATCATTAACTTATCAGCTATTTGGTCATAATTCAAAGTATTAGACTAAATAAAATGCGATACATTGCTGTATCCATCATGGGAGCGACCCCGTGTTTGCAGAAGTGAAGGCAAAAGCGGAGATGAGAGACGTACGTAAAGTGCTTTAGGAGCCGATACAGTTTTCCAAGCAGTCTGAATAATGAAGTGAACTTGATGATAGCGGCTTCAGGCAAATACCTCCACAAGGGAAGTCAGAGCTGAATGTCACAAAACTATGGTGGACACTATGGTAGAAGCTAAAACTCCCTGAACTTTGGGAAAAAAGGATGAAAAGAACCAGGAAGAACATTCAGGGTGAGGTCAAAGGTCAAGGTAGAAGGGTTCTCTCTCTCTCTCTCTCTGCAGTAAACACATCTCTATATCTTCAGTGTATTGTCCGAAGCTGACAGCAGCCCGAACCAGCCACAAAGCACTGTGGTGTTTTCAGTGTGTGTGTATGTGTGTGTGTGAGAGAGAAAGAGGGAGCGAGGATGGAAGCAGGAATACTGATGGTTTACTAATTTTACAGTTGGTTCGCAAATTTCTTAACAATAAACTGCTACAATTTGCAAACTTTAGCCTCTATGTACATTACAGATCTAACGTATTCTACTCACCAGGAAGGTATCCTGCATCAATAAAACCTCTTTAAAACTATTTGAAAACGTCATTAAAACTCACGCACGTGCCATTTCAATATTGTTTAAGGGCCTTCAGTATTTGGGCTGAGTAGTAGTGCAAGAAAGCATTTCTATGTTTATGTATATATGCAATTACATCACTCGAGACCTAAATATAAAAATGTTTCGACCAATTGTGGATGAGCAATTGCACTACACACACACACAGACACACACACACACACACACACATACAAACACACCACTGTGTCAAGACAGCCAAAAGAAAAGTAAGACTTCTCATTGGAGCCTTCAAAATAAAAGCCTCATTGATAAACGTGACAGTATCCTCTTCGGAGTAATGCAACGCAAGTGAAAACCACAAATGCATTTACACATCGCCAGAAACAATATATGGAGAGTATGTAAGGTAGTCTATATATATATATATATATATGCTACAAAACATACAGACATATTTTGCAGGGTATCTAGCAGTTTCAAAGTTTAGGACATTTATCTTAAAACTGTGGCACAGATTTGGATTTTGCCGATTGCTACATATTTAAGTACCTAAAACCACATGGCTTCCTCCATTGCCCATTGAAAGTAGCCTTAAAACGAAAAACTCCAATACTTCCTAAACCCTGCAGAGTTGAGCGCACAACTTCCGGTTCTGATTTGTTTAAATGTGGTGAATTGGTGCCGCTCAGAGCGCTCAGACACTGAATATATCACGGTGTTTTAATGGCGGTGAAACGTCTGCTTCTCTCGTCATTTAATGCACAGTACCGTAAAGCTTCTTGTCTTCACTCACGTGCAATAAAAAAATCATTCTTTCGGAAAACGTTTCACGCGCCCTACGTTCCTGTCCGTTAATTTGAGAAATCGTTTTATTTTATTTTTATTGTAGCTGGAGAAAGTGTATAAAACGTGTTCATAAAGAACATTTCAAAATCTAAATTGACATTAAGTAAAGGGACAACGTAAGCTTGCCGTTTAGTTCACCGTGTTTGACTCTAATGGTGAAGCCCTCACTAACTGTCACGTTAGCCAGCTTTGAAGTCCTTTAGCAGTGATTACGTCAGCCAAGACGATACATTGTCTATTAAGTATATTAAGTTTGGTGTATTGTATTAATGGAAACTCACCGGCAACATTCCTGCTGGTCAGTCTTCCTGTCCCGTTAGAAAATGTAACTTTCTCCTCCTGTCGTTTCCCTCCTTCCTGTCCTCCACACTTCTTCTACTGAGCTTTTTCGGTCTTTTCCTCTGGTATCAGGTAATTTTCCATAGATCCAAATTCTTCTTCTTCTTCTTCCTCTCTCCGCAGCCAGATATCCATATGCTTAGACAACTAAAAGTCCTGCTCCTTTCCACTTTCCTCTTTCAATCCCTCCCTCTTCCTTCCTCTCTCTCCCCCACACACACACACACACACACGCTCACACACACTCTTGAGTCTGCTGTTTTACACCGGGAGAGGAAGCACAACTGGATGTGAGGAAAATCTGGGAACACCAGTTGTAGTTTGGTCTGTCAGATGTTTCACTGATTTCATCCTTTGGTCGATCAGCAGGCGGTCCTCCGGTTTGGTCTGCAGGGTGAACTGGGTCACCCTCCTGGTGATCCCTCCCATCTGCCCCCGGTCTCCTCCTCCTCGCGATAAATAGCCTCCAGGTTTCAGTAACAAATGTACCAGCAAAAAAAAAATGAGTTGGTGGAACAATCACCAATATAAAAATCCATACTATTTTCCGGAGATTCTAAGTCCTGTTTGTTTGGAGTGAGAGCGCCCTCCTTCTGCTGTGTGAAGAGCCATGTCCTCCTTCAGTAGTACAGATTTATTAAATATAGTCTACAGCTAATTTGTTACAGTTCAGTGCTCCAACTTACAGTATTTGACTATAAGCACACTCCTAATAATGAGCTCTGTTTTTTTCACCATGCCCATAAAAATGAATGCTGATTTTAGTATAAAGTCATGTAATTATATGCTATTTCTTATCTATAATACACACCACTCTCATGTATTTCTAACCATAATTGTTTTTGTCTTTATATCCCCCCCATATGTAATTAAAAATGTTTTATCAAATAAAAAAAGCAGTTTTTGGCTCCACAGGACAGTGAACACACACACACACACACACACACAGTGTCGTGTAGCTTACAGCGAGTTTAGAGATGTTCAGCTGTCATATATTCAGCAGATTATCACAGAGCTGTCCTCTGCTGCCAAGCACGGTGTAGGCCTCTGTGTGTGTGTGTGTGTGTGTGTGTGTTCTGACTGATCAGGTGACATTGTACAAACCATAATAATATGGAGCATTACATTGCGAGTACAGTAGTACCTTTGCTGTCTAACACTCTGTGCTGTAGGACGTCATCAGTTATTGTCATACTGCGTTCCACCTTCAGAACAGAAATGGATTCATTGATCAGCGCCTCCTGAAAAAACATTTCAAAGATAGAGGAAGTCATATTTTTACATTTGAACTAAGGTGCAAATGACTCAATTATAAAGTTCACTATTTGGCAGGACGTTATCGCCCTCTACTGTCCGCAGGGGCTCCAAACACTCCACCAAACATGGAAACATGTGAATTTGACCTCCCTGCACTGACCGCTAAGGAGCAGTGGGTATCTGATCCTCTCTGTACATCAGTCAAGCAGGAGGTCAGTGTGAAGTCTGTTTGAGTCATTTGCAGTACAGCATTACACTCTTTACCTTACACTCAGTAGGGAATATAGAAAAACTGCAAGGACTGCAATACTTTTAAAAAAAGGGTAGTTTTTCCAGAAAAGATCTTTTGTATTAGTGTGTTGTGTGTATCAGTGTTATAATCTATTTTTTACTGTTTTATCACTCTGTAAAACACTTTAACTACAATTATAGAAGATTGTGCTCAACAGATAAGGCAAATAAAATATTATACTTCCCTCCGGCTGTGAAATCCCACTGAATATTCGTATTTTTATTCTCAGTTCACCGCTCTAATGTCCTGAAAACCTGCTCCAGGATGTGAAGCGTAAACTCAGTCAGGCGTTTCTCTGCCTGAACATGAATAAGGAAACGTAATGAAAAGCAACATTGTCGATACATCTATTCCTCAGATATGTATTTAAACAATGGAGTGGTGGGCCTTTGCTGCATTCACCCATTGTGGCTCTTTTGTTCAAGGTTAGTGCGTGTGTGTGCTGTTGGGTCAGTCAATAAAACCAATTAACCTTGAATTGGCTCCATGTGATGCTGTCACTCCGCGCTGACGGCCACGTTCACACAGCATTGCCACGGCCAGAGGCAATCTCTCACGGTCACACGGTCACACACACACACACACTTCAGTGAGGGCAGGTCAGGCTCAGCATCATGTTGGTCAGCTGCCATATTTCAGCTACAGCCCCATATGCAGTTCTGGAACTGTTGCAGACGCAGCCGGGCAGTTTGCAGAGCTGCATTTGAAATTAACAAAAATGTGCTTTTGGAAAATCTGTAATATGGTTTCTACTGACATGATGATTGAACTGTTCTGTTGTCAACCTCTTATCAGATAGATATTCATGTGGAACTGACCTGCATTGCATTAGTTGTTTTGAAGGGGCTTTTAATTCGGAAATTGTTTACGAGAATTTGACCAAAATATGGTTGAAAATAAAATGATGTATGACAAACATCACAGACAGACACATCTAATAAAACTAGAGAGATGAAATATGCTCCGCAACAAGCAACAAGCAACAGTTACATTACTAAACACTTTAATTTTCCAACAGGACTACTAGATTAGGTTTCTTTCTAGCAGACAGACATTTCACACAAAAAAACAAAACACCGTGGAATCAATAAATAAATGACAAGTACAAATAGTTAAAACGGTACAGGGAAAGAAAAGCTATAGAGCAATAATAACATCACAAGGACCCAACAGCATCTTACAAGCGCAGCAGCTGACCGGTGAGCTGAGTCGGTACAGAGCCGGAGATGGACCAGAACCAAAGGCTTCAGTGGCAGCCATGTTGGCTCCGCAGTCCTGTGGAGGTCGGTGTAAGGAATCCAGAAAGTATTCAGCAGATTGTCCCGTTTGTACAGTCAGCTGTTCCGTGTTGAGGTGTGGAGCACTGGGGTCAATGAACTACCGACGACATGTCAGTAGTTCTTTACTGCCAACAGGACAATCTACCAAAACTTCAAAAAGTGTTGAATACCTTCACCAGCTGACCCTCTTGCCTTGGTGACATTCTGAAGGACAGTGTCAAACATTTACAGCCAACACAAGTGTTTCTAGAGAAGCAGACTGCCGGTGACTCTGACATGGGACATAAAGCAGACAGGTAGATAGTAGTGTTTGTTTAATACAGCATACGTCACATGTAGAACTCGCTAATTTCTTTAATAGTCAATGCTTTCTAACTCGTCAGAGTTCTTCATCACCTGTGTCACCTTTCGGGTGCGGGACATGGATTTGGTCCGAGAGGAGATAATTGGAATAAACAAAATCAAATGATGTGCAATAAAAACCAGCAGGTAATTTATTCAGTTTGTAGTGTCGGAATATCAAGCTGCAGAGCACAAGAATGAATCTACTGTCGACTACTGACACTAAATGTTCTACGACGTCTGATCCCAACGTCAAAGTCAATTTAAATCAAAAGTCTATTACAAGGAATACTTCGCCACTGAAATAACTTTTTGATTTATACATCTATCACTCACCCGTGTTACCTTGAATTCTTGGAAGAAAACTTTTTTTCTCGCATGCCTCCACGGTGAACGAAGAATCCACAATCAGAGAAAGCTCTTGATGAATTGCGGTGAGGGGGGGGGGGGGGGTGCATTTAAAAACAGCAAAACTACATCGAAACATCCGTTAAACTCTCACAACCTGTGCAGTGAAGCCAAAGTCTCATGTTCCGCATAAACAGCGTCGATGAGTTGTGTTTAGATGTAGTTTTCGCTGCGGTTAAACGCTTCCCCCATTCGCCTAAAGACATCCAGAACATCCTGTGCTTCGTGACTCTTGGTTCACTGTGGAGGCCGAGAGACAAACTGAGGTCGAGTAGCTGATAAACAAACGGTCATTTTGGGGGTGAAGTTTTCCTTTAACATCAACGGCATTTATCGAAGCTGCATCTGTAATAGTGTTTTCAACTTCTTAACATTGATGCGGACAGTTAAAATGAATTGTGTGTGGGGTCTTGCTTTAACGGGCTAAATATTTGTTGGGGTTTCGCTACATATTACGGTGAGGTCACAGACCGAGGAGCAGAAATAAAAACGTTTAAAACCTCTTTTTTTTTAGGCTCATTTTTTATGTAAAGTTGTCTGCGTAGGTTTTTAAAAGATCTTCAGAAATTTGACAACATGTCCCTTAAATTTTTGTAAATACTTGAAGCACTTTGATTGGATTTCACGGACATTGATGTTATCAAACATTCACCCAAAAACATCAACTTCCCATTGAACATCAAACAGGTGAGCGTCTCCTGCGGCGCTGCGGTGACGATGCGCGGGGCCGTAGATTCCTACTGTATAGAGCAGCTCTGTCCGTTGGCGTCTTTGGAGCGCAGACACAGTTTAGGTTTGTAGCTCTCCAGGTACAGCAGCTGCTTGGAGTTGAACGCCCCACGGCGCTTCCTGACAAACGAGAACACGTTTATTTCTTTGAAAAAAAAAAAAAAAAAAAACAGCGACAGGCGTGTGTGTGAGCAATCACAGGGATGGGGGGGGGAGGGCCAAATCAGTGTTTAGTACTCACAGTCTTATGAAATGCACGGCGTCTTCATATTCCATCCCACACTCGATTAGAGCCAGGGCCACCAACACGGGAGCTCTGAGGACAGACGGCAAATAGATACAAACGTCTGTTTGGACGGAAACGCAGACTTTAAACTGTTATTTCAACCCAGCTTGTGCTCTGACTTTTGCCGCAGACTTTTCCTTTTTATCAAGTTAATGCCAAATTCTACCTTGGTCCCCTGTAGCTACAGATCAAAGAGGCACAGCAGTGGAACGTCCAGTAGCACAGAGCTTTATACTGTGCAACACTACGACAACTGACAATGCATGCCAGGTCTAAACAACCGTTTTTTTGTGCATATTGGCGGGAAAAAAAAAACAACAACATCTGAGAGATAACTGACTCGGGTGGATATTAATACATCAAGCCATTCATACTGTGTGTGATAAACACAACATGTTAGATCCTGTGTGTAGCGCATACTAACCTTCCTAATCCAGCAACGCAGTGCACAGCCACACAGCTACCCGGCTCCTCCCGAAACTTTGTCTGCAGGAGGTTCAACCAATCATCAACCACCTGTTCTGGGGGGGCGGAGCCATCGTCAAATGGCCAATCCTGGAGGGGATATCGAGTCGTTATGCGATCTCATCAATTTGGTGCGACATTCTGTCAAATGTGAACATTTTTGTTTTCATGGTTAGGACTAAACTTACATTTTGCCATTTTGTAGTGCTGTACTGATGTACTGATGTACTTCAATGTAGTGAAAATGATTATGCTCTATATAGTGGAAGCACTATACTGCAGTTATTAACGGTTCCATTTCGACCAAACCAGAGTTGGTGATTGTTGAAAAAAACGGAAACGTGAACCGAGTCGAATTTTCTTTCCGTCAAGTTTGAATAAAATGAGTTTGAACAGGTGTTTTATAACAAGGTGGAATTACTGTAGCATGTGTATACATTCAGTATACCGTCAGCAGCTTGTGCAGCATAGAAGTGTTGATGTGCTGTACTCTGCCAGTGCTAGCTCCACACAAGGACTAGGCTAAATCTGCTGTGTATCTACGTCACTTACCAGGACTTGGATACTTTCTTGCTCCACCGGTGTCTTGTCGTACGTGGCAGCACACACTCTCACCAGGGTGTTTACTCCGTATGCCTTCAGATCCTGCACATTGAAACATACGTTTAACACAGCACGACACGGTTGCTTCCTCTATTACTGAAAGAAAATTAACGATGGGTATGCATGAATTATTACAAAAAGGTGCGCTACCTCTATAAACCTTCCGAGTTGTGCATTGGTGGGGTTGTGCGTAATGAGAAATCTCAGGCAGTCATAAGAGATCTCCACTGGAGCCGGTCGGTTCATTTTTAGAAGCAAATAAAATTATGTTTTCAATAAAAGAAAAACTGTCAAAAATGCAAAACCACTTTGCCAATAATTTCACTAACTAATGCATCCGTATGACTTATGGGCAAAAAACTGTAACTACTCGATTTTGTTGACGACAAAGTGGTATAAATTAAAATAAAAAATAAAAGACAAGACTAATTTCCTGGGATAGAAATAAACTTTTCTTGGCAATGAAGAAATAACTAAAATTGGCTTGGTTAAAAATAAATATTAAACTCTAGCAGACCGGATTAGAGAACTAAAGTCCAGAAGGAAAAAAAAAAAAAAATGCAGACAGAAAAAATAGATCTGTCCTTCCTTTCTCTCTTTCAAATCGGCTAGCCCATTCAGAAAAGTCTTGGCCGAATCAGGGTAGAAGAAGAAAGGAGAAGCAGAAAAGGAGAAGAGCTGTGAGGAAACTCCCGGGTTAAACCCAAAGCCTCTCCCACTCCCCGGGACAGGTGACAGGCTGACGGTTGGCTTGTCTTCATATGGATTGAACAGGATGGCAGTAAGGACCTACGAGGACACGGAGACGGCCATTAAGGTTTCCTTCCATATTGCTTTTTGTTCTGTTACTTTATTATGAACAGTATCTTTCTGTATAGCAACCTATTACCAAATGGGATGTTTTTACCTGAGGCTTTAGTGTGATTAAGATCTGACAACCATGAACCTGGATGAATTAAATGACTAGCTACACATAAGGACATGAACTTACAATCAGTAGCTCCACTGATTCAGTGTACCTCTACTCTCTGCTGCCCCATAGACTGTAACATGGTGAAAACCAGCCTTCATACTACACACCTGTGCACGTCAATGGCAGTGTTTGCGCCTAGCTGGTGTCTCTCCTCTTCACTTGTCCACGATAAGCAGCAGGTGCTGGGCTTGGCAAAATTCCCCTCCGAGCCTCGCAAACGCCATACATGTGCAGCCTGGGAGAGAGGGAGACGAGAGACACATAATGCATTGCGAGCGTGACGTGTAGCCACTAACTTAGCACAGAGACGGAGACACTCACTGTGATGAGCGCTGAGGAGGTGGTTCATTGAGCGTACACAGGACAATGTGTCGGCTCCGGGATGTAGACACACCATTGATGATGATGCTGCTTTTTCTGGGTCCTGGCTGACAACGGCCCGCTAGCGTGCTGCTAACCTGCTGCGTAGAGGAGAAACGTGTTAATAATGCTCGCGGTTAGCCTGGTTTAAGTAGCTAACATACGATATTCTACCAGTTTGGCGTGACATTGTGTCCACGCGAAAATAAAAGACCATTGAGAAATGTTCAATTCATGCTAGTTAAACTATACGGATGGCCAGAGATCGGATTTGCACCTGCAAGTTGCCGACTGCAATTAATACACCGCTCACAGTACAGCGTATATATTGCTAGAGGCTAAATGTTGCTAGCTAGTCCTTTTATGCCCCTTACAAACAAACGGATGTTAACGTTAGCTCAGGTGATGCTCTGAATGACAGCCAGCTAGCTAACCTTACTAGTAGGCTGACTGTCAAACGCACACACAGTACTTGCTGTATCTACCACAACATAACATGCCCAGTTTAAGACAATGATTTAGAAACTAGCTAGCGGTTACCTCACTAGACTTATCAGTAACGCCATAGCGTTATGCCATTAGAGGCTCAGCCGCCAACCAGGTCAACAACCATGTTCCTAGAATAAACAAAGCTAACACTTCCAGGCTAACGTTAATGCGTTGGCTGGTTTTCAACAACAGCCTAATGACAGCGGGTGGCAGTGGTGTCGTTAGCACGGGGCTAACTTCAGGTTCACATTAGTAACATCAAACAAACACGGCTGACATAGCTAACGTTACTTACAAAACGCAGTTGTGTCACGGAAAATCCAGACGTTTCTACTGGCGGAGAAGAGTCTGCGAAGGAGACATGTCGAACAGAAATGTCGAGTTAGATAAAAACAAACGAGACTTCCGGTTGCAAGCTTTCAATAATAAAACTGATTGGAAAAAAATACACTGCACTGCTTGGGAAAAACAGTCTGTTTTAATTTGTAAGTACACTTCCGGTATTATTCAGACTGTCTCCTTCAACATGACGAATCTTTTAAATCACACTTCTCATTATGTTGCTTTACTAAATCTGACAAAAGTGCTATTTTATCCCTTTGAGCTGAGTAAGCGAGGTTAGGTTTAATAAGGCAAGTAGTACGTAACAGGTAGTAAGTAAACTTGAATTGATTGATATGGTCTCTCTCCGGTGTAACATTATGTTAATCCAGGCATAACTGAACATTCTAACTTCCTAAATCATATTTGTTTTTTTATACTGTTACTGTATGATAAAATAAGGCCGCAAGCAGGCAAATTGTAACTGTCATTGCTGCCATCTGCTGTTTGCACAAAGTAAACCTACCAAGACTGGCTGAATTACTGTCACTGAATTCCATGATGACTCACAAAACAACAAAGCAGACTTTAAAAAAAATGTGAATGTTTTTTGTCAGCCTAGGGCCTTTCTATATTTACAACTTGACCTCTAACCTTTATCCTGCTGGCATGACAATGTTTTCTAAGATGTTTTCAACAATGTCTACAGGACAAATTGTTGTTTGGTTCAACTTAACTCTAGATTTTCTCATATGTTCATAACTCTTTATCGTCATGTATTTTACTCTAATCCCACTATATATTCACAACTTATGAACGCTTTTGATGTTTAACTTTTTCTCTTGCCACTTTGTATTATTTTTCATACACTGACTTAATATATATTACAGCATTTATTGTATTTTATTTGATGAGTTACTCTATTTCAAACAAACTGCAGCAACAACTTACTGAAACAGTTTGACACGCTACATTTTTTTAGATCTGATTTAGTTCTGTATGTTTGTTACCATGTGAACACTTTGCTCACTGTAAAAACACATCTGCATTGCTGCCCAAAGGGTGTGGCATCTTCCTGCCTCTCTCCTTCTTACTCTCTTTTTCCTACACACACATACTTACACACACACGTACAGACACACCGGCATTCTGTTTGGGAAGGATGGGTGTTTTCTCACCCTGCCTAATAAAGTATAAGCGTCTTGTTTCTTTACCTATTCATAAGGTGTTAGGTTACTTGGCTCAGAGGGAGTGGAGCCTTCCTGTATCGTGCAAACTGACAAGACAGGGCATGCAAGTCTGAGTGTGTGTGTGTGTGTGTGTGTGTGTGTGTGTGTGTGTGTGTGTGTGGTGACGTAGCAACTGCTGAATCTGGTTTGGCAGGAATTCTGAGGGAAGGGCGAGAGAGCAGAGACAGAAACAGAGAGAAAAATCAGCGGAATAGTTTAAACCAGTTTTTACTGAACTATATTTAACTTCACAGCTGTTTATTAATCTTCCCCTGCTGGTGTCAACATATTGGATTTGGGTATTTGAGTCTGGTTCCAGCACTAGGTAAGGTTGTTTAATATTCATTAATGTTGTATCACATGCCTAAAGTGAGGACTGAGCGTTAAACAAAAGACTGTTGCCAGTTACAGTGATGTCTTTTTCCTTGTTTACCCTAAAACAGTACGATAGAAACTGTTGTTTATGCCAACATATGCGGAGAAAGCCTCGCGGTTATTTCACCCTAAAAAAAGAAGACACAATGAGAGTAACGTTACACATAGTGTGGCAAGATGTTGCGCAATCAGTATAAAGAAAATGTGGTTTTATAAACTGTAGATTCACCACAAAGACAGAGTCGTTGGGGTACCCTCTTAAAAGTTAAACATTTCTACACACACACACACACACACACAAGCTGATGTATATCAAGCAATCTGCTTTATAAATAGCCTACCATGCAATTGGTCTTTTTTTTGGTAGATTTAATGCCTTCCTGAAATTAAAACAGTTTGCTCTCATTGAAGATCTACGGTTTAATTTGCCACTACATCCCTCGCACAAACAATACGTGTAATTCACCATTTGCAGCAACATTTTATATTTCGTACACAGCCACAGCCTGAAATGGAGCCCAACGTTTGGGGTTAAAAAAAAAAAGACAAATAGTAATGTAGAATCTGAAATGGTCTCATAACCACAGCAGTATGTGGCCCTCACTGGACAGGTCTCATTGCTGCGAAGATTTGTTGTATTTAGCCTATATGACTAAACTAATGGAGTAAATCCAGAGTTTTAAGTGTTAACAACGAAAAGTCCTCAGCCACTCCTGTTTGGTGAAATCTAAATATTTTACTCGTTTGTAAACAGTGTGTGATCCTTCACTGCTCCAGAAAATCGTACGCGCCTAAAGATGGTGTTTTATATCCGGATTCACATGGATTTTATTTATCTTCATGACCAGCGAAGTGGTGGGACTTCAAGTAAAAACAAATGGAAAATATAATTTAAAAACAATCTGTTATACTTTCCAAATAACATTTATTAAAAAAAAAATGATCAAAGCTTTAGTGGTTCCCGTTTATTTGACGAGCAAAAAGAAACTATATGTGGCGAAATACTCAATTAGATACACATTTTTAGTGAATGAATGTAATTACATTTTACAAAAAAAGGACTAAAAATTAAGTATATCTTACAATCAAAAAAGAAGAATCTGTACAATGCCAGCCCCATGTTACTATGACAACATGATTCAATAGACTGAGCACTGTGGTTACCACATTAGGTTTTGTTTGCCAAGATAAAGACATATTTGTTAAACACACACACACACACACACACACACACACACACACACACACACACACACACACATAAACACAGACAAATAGTATCTAGGTAACTTCAATTGTGAAACCACACATTGGCCAGGAGGTTTATGCTCGAAGATATATTTATAATAGGCTAATGACTCCTGGTTGTTTCATTCATGAACCTCGCGTCCAGGATGGAGCATAAAGATACATTTTATCATTAACGTTTTATCTTATTTAACACTGGAACAGAGCTGAATTATCACAGTAGCAGAAGCACAGGTGTAACTAATACCATTAACCATGGCCTAAAATGTCTTGTTAATTAATCCCGTTTCACATCTCTAAGTGAGCACTCCCAACTCCTCAAACTGGTTTGTCTGCATGTCATAGAGCACATTGTTGGTTCACTTTCAAAAACATATTTGCATTCGAAATATAAGATTTTGCATGAAACGTAAAGCTAAAAGTATTACGGTGGAGCAGTTTAATCTTTTTGTTCCATGAAAGGTGTCTAAGGTGTTTGTTGGAAATGTGGTCTAAATTCTGAGCATAGAATCTATGGTTTGAAGAAATAGCAAATTTGTAGCTAGCAGCCAGTTAGCTTATTTTAGCATAATAGATTGCATAAAAAGGGGGATTTAAACGAAGGTAAAAACATCAAACGTCACTGTCTTATTTGGGTTTGTGTGCCACACTACTTTTTGGTGGGGGAGCAGTTGCTGGGCAACCAGTGGACATTTCAGGAAGTGGTCCCAGCCAGGAACAGTCGAGCACGTTAACCGCAAATTGTTGCTAAAATGCTTCCAGAGGGAAACCAGAGCTTTAGGGGTGCTGGAAGGCAGATTAGGTTACCCTTTGGACAGAGCAGGGGCTAGCTGTTTCCAGTCTTTGTGCTACGCTATGCTAACCAGCTGCTAACTTCAACTTCTCTGGCCTGTGCACAGTACATCTTGATATATAGCTACTAAAACATGGGCCTTCATTAGAGAGGGGCCTGGTGACATTATTAATCCTGAATAACAATTTATGAAGCATTCAAAAAGAGAAAATTGCAATTTGCAACAACACGACAAAGACACCCCGGCAGACATGAGATATCAGATATAAATCTGTTTCTAAATGTCACCTCCCACTCCTGACCTGAAAAATTTCAGACAAGCCCATGCAAGCTTTTGTGTCTTAGCCAGACACACCGGTTCTAGGTGCAGCTGTGTTTTGAAGTATTCTATTCATGTAACTTGCATGTTGGGTTGGGCAAAATCTAGCTAATTCTTAACCAGAAGCCAACATTTTATGTTATTGTTGTAAGTAATTGTCTGATCTGTTTGTATCTTGTCATACGGATGTGGAAGCACAACCCTGTATTCTCCCTTCCTCTCCGTTAAAGCGTACGTTTGTGTCCATCCCCAAGGCCCCGTGCAGCAGCAGCGATGAACTGGTCGGGCCTGGAGGGCTTGTTGAGCGGAGTCAATAAATACTCCACCGCGTTCGGGAGGATATGGCTGTCCATGGTGTTTGTGTTCCGGGTCATGGTGTTTGTGGTGGCAGCGCAGAGGGTTTGGGGTGACGAGAGCAAAGACTTTGTGTGTAACACTCGGCAGGTAAGATGTTTTCCTTTTCTATTCTTACACTATTCTTACATAAAATCTATCCCGACTGTTTATGAGTTCAACCACGAACGTCGGCTGTTACCCTGAATGATGTCATCGGGGTTATCTCGGATTGGGTTGGACGCCTTAATTTGTTAAATTATAGTTCAATTTGCAACTTCGTAGTTGTGGAGTTTGAAAGACGTGGGCATTTACCAGACCGGAAGACTTAAACAAAAGACAGTATTGAGTTGCATTATGGGAAATGTAGTTACCAGTATTTTGTGGAACACTAGAGACTAAAACTATGGATATATCTGGCTATGTTGCATCAATTTTGACCTTTCTTGTTTGTAATTTGTCTCTAGTGAGACCCCGAACTTTGTGAAAGTGCAACACCAAATCGCCCTTTAAGGGCGAGGCATTCAGCGCAGGCAGCCTCATCAAAGAAACGTGCTGACTTCTTGGGACTTTGACATATTTGTGAGCATACACCCGTGACCAGAAGATCAACTCTCGTCAATTTATTCTTTAAGTTCACTTGCTACGGTTTTAGCATTTACGACGTACGGTAACTGATAGCCAATCAACACCGTTTATTACAGCAAAACCTGTTACCGACACAGCCATCCTTTAGTCTGTAACCCTGATCGAAATCAACTGCAAAATGCTGACTCAATATTTGCCTGCAAGTCTTGCAGGGAGAAGTTCTGCCGTTTGAATGTTCTGTTATTTCACTGATCCCCTAAAAAGCACCGTCATCATTTCATGACAGTTGCATTAGTGGTATGAAAGTATTGCCTCTTTGAGACTCAGTTTGTTGTTGTTGTTTTTTTATCTCTGGCACAAAGGCAATAACCTACACTTTCACTGAGACATTTTAGTCATTACAGAAAAAGCAATTGCTGTAAATCTTTTACTCTGTTTCCAGCCTGGCTGCACCAACATCTGCTACGACCACATCTTCCCCATCTCCCATATCCGTCTGTGGGCTCTGCAGCTGATTTTTGTCACGTGCCCGTCCCTGATGGTGATGGCTCACGTTAAGTTCCGCGAAGGAAAGGACAAGAAATACGAGGAGCTGCACCACGGCTCTCACCTGTACGCCAACCCCGGCAAGAAGAGAGGGGGGCTGTGGTGGACCTATCTGCTGAGTCTGGTCTTCAAGGCTGGATTCGACATCGCCTTTCTGTACATCCTGTATCGGATATACCACGGATACGACTTGCCCAAGTAACACTCGTACCTTTTTACTTTTCAGACGAAAGCACGGCCTTTTAATCATCTTCAGCATGGACATTGGAAATGAACAGACAAACCGATTCTCTAATGAATCTCTATTCTTCTTCTTCTTCAATCCCTTCTTTTAGGTTGTCCAAGTGTTCCATAGCGCCGTGCCCCAACACCGTGGACTGCTTCATCAGTCGCCCCACGGAGAAGAAGATCTTCATGATCTTCATGGTTGTTTCCAGCGCGCTGTGCATCCTGATGTGCCTCTGCGAGATGGTTTACCTCATCGGCAAGCGCATCTCCAAGATGGTGAGGGCCCGCCAGGACAACGAGAGGTTCCGCTTTGCTGAGCAGCACAAGCTCACCAACATGGCCCCACCGAGGTCCCAGTACCGCAGGACCGATCCGACGCTGACAGAGAGCCAGATGAGTTTAAACAAGACGGACAAGGTCAGAGACGGTGGTATAAGCACGACCTTGTAGGACTTGGTTGGGGGAGGGTGGGGGGCACTGAACCATGGGGTTCTTTCTAACTGGTGGACCCTAATAAAGTTATTAGACCGAAAATACTGTGTCCCAGCTGAACATGGAACATCAATGGCTCTCCGTCAGAAGGATCGCAGACACTGGCTGTATGTTGAACACTGTGAAAGGAGAGGACTACTGGTATCGGTGCGTTTGGATATCACATTGTTTAATCTCTGTACTATAGGTCTCATCAGCTCATGGCCGACTATACCAGGACCAACATGCAGGAGTTGGCTTTTTAAAGCACGCGTCTGATGTTGCGTTGGAAGGGCATTGTTGATTGATTTGTTGAATCAACGTCAGGTGTGTCCTGTTACAGCTATGTCTCTCAGCGCTGGGGCAGTGCTAAAGAAATGTCTGGCTTCAAGCGTTATTCTGGTATGAGGGGGGAAAAATGCTCTGACTTGTTTGTATTCTTTTAAACACAATCACAGTAATTTAGAGTCTTTAAGTCGTAGTGGTTTTTACACCACATGTCTGACCGGCGTTGGGGGGCAGGGTCACACACACACTGCACGACCTTTCACCAGGAAGGATCTCGAATGAGGTCCCCAAATTTAAAAGTTCACACATGGGTGCTCGGGCGCCAATGCTGATCTGGGGCTTTTGTCGAACCGGATCTGATTGGGCCGCGCTCTGGACACCAAAACACGTTACCGAAAGCCCCACGAGATGGATTTTCATGTGATGTGATGTGTGATCCTGCAATTCTTAGCTGCAGCTCAAGCTATTGCTTGTGTCTCCGAGCTGAAAAATAAATGTCGGCGACAGGAAAATCTGGGTTAAAGTCGTGTTTAAAAAAAAACAAAAACACACACTGCCGGGAATTTGATGAGCTGATGCCCCACGTCAAGCGTGGAGTCTATAAGAGGATATTTCTAACTAGCTTAATTAGCTGAGCTGGCAGGGTGAAGTTACAGGACAAGGTCACCATATGTACCCCGGACACAACTACAGTTCAGAGCCGACTGGAGTCAAAAAAGTCAACTGGAATGTAGTAATGTGGTCCAATAGTTTTTTTTTTAAGACTTGTTTTTTATTGACATATATAGGTGCTATATTTAATTGCTTGTTAAATAAAAATGCTGATCAAGCTCTGTGCCAAGACTGTCCCTCTTTACAGAAAGGTCCATTCTGGTATGTTTGTATATGCAGGGTTTCTAAATGAAGTTTGCTGCTGCTCCTAATACCAGTGACAAACTCACTCAAGAAACAGAAGGATTAACAAAAATCAACTTAAGCATCAGGTGTAAATAAACATATTTAACCTCTTGAGCCCGATGGAACGGTACCAGGTCCTCTCCTGTGGTTACAAAAAGTCAGGATGGAAGATGGTTTATTTTTAAGAAGATATGTTATAAAGGTTTGAAGCTTTCAGAATCAGGAAACCAACTGCATGTTGTCCAAACGACTGTATGTTGTATTACAATGTATTTTATCAATAAAGCCATAATTTAAATAAGGCTTGTCTAAGATGAACTAGACCGACGCAGGCCTGCATAACTGTGATCACCGTCTCGCTCAGTGAATTGCATGATGGTTAGTGATTTTGTCCGACTTGCCACGGAGGCCCAACTGCATTAAAAATGGAAATCTGAGAGGAAAAAGACGCATGCAGTTTTGTGACCTAGGTGCCATTGAATCTCTCAAAGGGCTACAGCAGCGAAGTGCTTGATGGGAAATGACTTGCCTATAAATGGAGCTAAGCGCTTAGCTCGTACAAGCTTCTATTATCCTTTTTCATCATTATTCCACAATGTTTATCTACAAGGCCATAAGCAGTAACACATGTATTTAATGAGTATATTGCTGGCATTATAAATTCAACATATTTGGACATTGTCCAAAAATCCAACCTGGACAGAAAAGTTCTGCCTTTCACATGCAGTATTCAACCCCCTTGATTTGTTTTAGAATGAGCTTGCGTCTCATTAAATTGCCGTGTTTTGCAGTTCATGCAATCACTGCTGTTGCTGCTGTATATTATCTCAACTTGATTTTAGTTTTATCATTATAATTTTAATTATTGTTATTGTTTATTTTGTTGTTGCAGCTAAGTGGAATCCAGCCATCATAGATTGTATAATTTACTCATAAAATAGCCTATTGTGCACATAAATTAACTTATTTTGTTGGTTAAAAAGCAACAATTTGATCACAGAACGTAAAAACAAAAGTTGGAATAAAAACAGTTGAATTATGTTCTGTTACCACTAGATGGCAGCATGTCCCACGTTGACAATACCTGTTAATGTATCCATCTATATCAGAGGTCTTCAACAGGGGGTCCACGGCCCCTAGGGTGTCCGCGGAGGTACTGCAGGGGGTCCGCGGAATTTTTGGTTGATTAAACAATTAAAAAAATAAATAAAAAAATATAATTTTTTTTCTCTAAACATGAATCTGACCATTATTTTAATAGTTCAGTATTGCATGAAAGATAACAGGTATCTTTATGCATGGCAGTGGCACTAATAGGCCATCACTCATTTTTCGTTTCCACATTTATGTTTAAAATGAAAACATAAATTTGAATAGCTTGTATGCATGATTATCATGCAATTGACAGACAATGTTGATATTGGCATTGGTATCAGCTGACAAGGTATGTTTATAAATGGCAGTGGCACGGCCTCCCTACTCACTGTACCTTGCACATGTTTAAAATAAAAACATGAATATATGAACCTGTGTATTATTTGAATAGCTTAGTATTGAATGCACAATAAAGAGGTATGTTTATACATAGTACTAGGCCCATTTAATATAAAACACAATTTTATACACTATATATAGTCGGGGGTCCTTGCTCCATCTCTCTATCAGTTTGGGGGTCCTTGGCCTGAAAAACGTTGAAGACCCCTGATCTATATATTTACAGACATTTTAGGGATTTTTGTCTAGAGATTTGTTATTGTACAAAGGGACAGGGCGTAAAAGCAGCCAAAGTGGACCATCATGCATCAAGGTAAGAGCAGAAATATTTACCCTTGAAGTCCCCTCGTGTTTAAAAGCACGTGCCGGTGGCCTGCATCAAGAGCTCTGAACACAGCTGCACATGTGGGCGGCGCAGGTACTCTAACCAGACGAGCCAATGTTGTTGCCTTCAAGTGCTTCTTTAAAACACATGGAATTCCCCCAGTTGCTTGTATTTGCGTGGGCTACAATTTCACACGATATTATGTCTTATGGAAGTGAACCATAACGTTTCAGAAGAGGAATACGTAGAACAGTTAAAGTATTTTCCAGTTGTTTTTTTATTTCGTGGCTAATTTCATATTTGACAAATTGAAAACATCCGACGAGGATGGGATTCGAACCCACGCGTGCAGAGCACAATGGATTAGCAGTCCATCGCCTTAACCACTCGGCCACCTCGTCTGTGAACATTAAGTGTTAACTCGTAATATTTCGACATACAGTAGTCGTTATTAAAATATTTGTGGATGTAGACCTGATTTGGTTCTGCTCAACATTTCGGTCGACGTTGCTGCTTTTACATTGTGTTGTACGGAAACGCGTAAAGCCAAATCTACTTCCACATCCCAGCGCATTATAATCCCTGCTAATGATACTACGAAAAACTAGCTAACTTTGGCTAATAGCATAACACGAACAACGTGAGAATTAGACGTCAACGTGTTTTACTCTGACCGAACAGCAACAATGTGCAGACTCATGTACAATACACGTGTCTGTCCACCACAGGGAGCCAGAGACCAACTAACAATGAGCTAGTTTAAGCCTCTGATAACGAACTGGACTTTACTCCAGCAGCTGATGTCAAACAAGCTGCCATAATTCATTGAAAATGATGTGAAAAAAAGAAAAAACACCACTTATGACATGTCACACTCTCTCACACAATCCACTATTTAGATTCAAATGTTTGTCACGCAGACAAGTAATGTGAAGTGAAATTATGCAATGAGATGTGAGCTTAATGTGCCGAAAGAATAGTCTGGAATGCATGAAAACTGTATCTAAAGGATGAAAATGAATATGCACATATTGTTCTATTTATGACAAAATATTGGTGCAGGTGTGACCAGCTTATTATATGCAGATCACACGTGAATCAAGTGTGACTCAGGTCTGTGGAAGCAGCAATGTTCATGTTCACTGGTGTTTATTTATTCTTCCATTTTCATAATTAGCTGATTTAATGACAAAGCTTGTTTGTACCTTCAATCTAAATCATGGTTGCTTTGAATTACTTTTCATCAGATACAGTTTGTATTCTCTTATCTACTATTTAACTGAATGTTTGTGTATGCATGATGTAGTAAGTACACAATAGTCTTTAGTCTACTTCATCAGTGTGTCTTGAGGTGTGAATCAAAAGGCGGAACACAGACCGGGGGGGGATCGAACATTTATTTACCCTTATTAAAAGTTACAATAAAATCATTGACATCTTCAAACGATAGCAAAATAAAGAGAACCAAAAATATTGGCGAAAACATATTTACAGAGACAGTTTGCAGATTAAAAAGCTCACATTTTGTACACAACCCCTGCATCATAAACTGAAATGTGAACACTGCAATACTCAAGAAGCTCGAATGTGGTTTTAGCCAGAAGAACAAAAGAACTAATCGAAATGCACGTACAAAGACATTGCTCATCTTCCACCTCCCCTCCTTGATTTTTTACTTTTCTATACATGACAAAATACTTGAAATTGTTTGGGGGGGTAAAACATAGGAATGTAGAATTCTAAAAATGAGTTAGATCTTTCTGAAAGGTTTATGTGTCCATATAACAGTCATTTCGAGTGAAGGAGATGCTCTGCCCCGCTCCGCTACGGTGACAATTTTTTAGATCCAAAAAAAAAAAAAAAGAAGAGAGATGAGACAGAAAAAGAAAAATGTTATAGGGCTGCCACGCTGTTAAAAAAGGATGCTTCTCCGTGAACTGGGAAAATAAGTCAGTATTCCTGATTCGCTCCACATCCATCCAATCCATTTACCTTCACCACACGCCAGTCCCCGTGTGTACCATGAGGGGGCGACACACGCCGACGCTTTGATCGTGAGAGGGCCCAGTGAGATTCCATCTGTCGAAGAACTAATAAAAGGCAGTGAACTGGTGGTTGACTCAGCAGACGTGATATATCCGTTGTCTTCTTCTCTAGTTTCGTTTATAACTTTTAAGAACGTGGCACGCGTCGCTCATATATATATTTATATACTTTTAATCTTGGAAAATCAGTTCAGGTGCCGCGGCTGGGGGGAGGGAGGGAGGGGGGGGGGGGGGGCAGTCACTCTGCCTTGGCCTCACCCTCGGGGGCCGCGGGTGTCGTGTCCTCAGCAGGGATGGCGTCGGCAGCGGCGGCCTCCTCGACCGGGGCAGCCTCTGTGGGTGGGGCCTCCTCCTTCGCCTTGGCCTCTCCCTCGGGTGCGGCCTCAGCAGCAGCCGGATCTGCGGCCTCGTCCTCTTTGGCCTCGGCGGCCGGCGTCTCCTCTTTGGTTTCCTTGGCCGAGTGGCCATTCTCCTCAGCCGTCGGGGAGGCGACCTCCTCCTTGCCCTCCTCACCGCCCTTCTTACTCTTCTTCAGCGAGATGCCCTTGAACTTGAAGGAGTTCTTCAGGGAGAACTTCTTCTTCTTCTTGCCCTCCTTGGCGCCCTCACCCTCCGGCTTGGCGGACTCCCCCTCGGCCGCGGGGGCTGGCTCGATGGCGTCCCCGGTGCCGTTTTCGCCCTCCTTGGCCAGTTCGGCTGTTCCGTTTCCATCGGCGGCTGCGGCCACTTCCCCGTCGGGCTTGGCCGACACGTCACCGTTGGATTTGACGTGACCGTTCTCCTGCAGAGAAGAAGGACTCATTAGTCGTGGATTTAAGTAATCAAACTGGGCCCAAAATAAAAACATGTTGCCTCTGCAAAATGGAAAAATATTTCACGCGTAAACAGATGGATAAACTGTAGATGAAAATGTGCACAGCATTCCAAATAAAAGGGATCTGACATATGACAGATCACAGCATTAGCCCATTTACTCCACTAGTTAATCCACGTTATACTTGAGGAAAGCTGCTTGCACTGACAGTGGTGTGTGTGTGTGTGTGTGTGTGTGTGTGTGTGTGTGTGGGGGGGGTAAACAGCGGTTTGCATGACTACTAAGCAGCCACACGGGGGCAGTAGTGCTGCATTCAAACGTCAACACAGCTAGCGGGTTTGGGGAACAAAGGAATCCCCATGAAACCTGCTTTCTGCTCTCATCCCAGAGCTGCAGCTCCCATCTCCCACCGCTCTCTGCGCGAGCTCGGTGTGGCCAAAATACAGCAGCACACACATCGGCCAATGTCGGCATATTCAATTAAGCGACTGCACTCACGAGGGACCGTGGGCTCCTTTAAATCGAGCAACTGATAAGGACCAAGTTCATCAACATGTATTGCAATGCGCTTTGCGTTGTATCAAATAATGCATCCTCTGATCTGGGGGTTTAGATTGAAGCGAGCCACTCTGTACTCATCCCAGCTATCGTCAACGCACATTTTATTCCACTCCGTGTTGAAACTAGTCGAACAACACGAGACACAAAACGCATAAATGTATATTAGTTTCGGGGCAGAGGTTGTTTTTTTTTTTTATAAACTGGCGCCCGTCTCCGCCGCTTTGTTTGAAACTCCGCAAAAACAATGCGCCTCCAGCAGAGCGCATTTGCATCCTTTGCACCGCTCCGCGCCTTTTGTTTTCGACGTCGAGAGCGACTACCGCCCCGACCGCAGTCAACTCATGAGAGAGAACACGGTCGAAACACACGCTTCTACCCGAATATGTCGGTCTCAGGTCGAATTTTGCGGGTGAATTGCCCCCACCCCCACCCGGGGACCGGCGAGCGGAATTAACAAAAGGCAGGTCTGGTGCGCGCCGAGCGGGGACGAGCACGGCCACTCGTCGGCTACTCTGGCTGGAGGTCCCCTACCCCTGTAGACAACCTTGTTATTTATTTCATTGGCCCTGTAGACACACGGGTTAACGCAGGAACGGGTCTGCTCTCTGTGCGGAGCGTGAAAGAGCAACAGCTAGGCATCGCAGCGGCACCCCACGCTGCCTTGTGGGCGTTCGGTGCCATGTGTCTCCTCGAGTGGCCTACTTCACTCACCTGGCCGTTGGCTTTGGCGGCGGCAGGGTCGGCAGCGGCGGCGGCTTTCCCCTCAACAGCTACTCCACCCTTGGACAACGGGGCTCCCATTCTCTCTTACTGTGTGTTGGAAACAAAAAAGAAAATCGAAAAGAAAAACCTCGAGGAGAGTTTTGAGGTTTAAAAATCCAGCGCCGGGATCGGGTAAGGTCTTGCCAAAGAGGTGAAACAAATCCAACCGGATCTCCTTCTCCCTAGCTAGGTCTGGAAACGAGAAGATCCCCCTTCGCTGAGTGCGGACCCCACGGCGGCTGAGCTCAAATTAAAGGAGGTCGGTGATGAGGCTGTGAGTATTTCTACCGCGCCTCAAAAATCGACCGGAGTCTCCTCCCATGGGCGGGGCAGGCGGGGGTTTTGTCCAATCTGCAGCCGGGGGACGGGCCTCCTTCGTCCCCTATGTCACTGCAACAGTCTGCTCAGCAAGACCCGTTCCACTGTTTCACATGTCTGGAAGGTTTTGGGGCATTTTGAACTTTTTAAACTTTGTTCATCAACAGCACTGAGATCATACAGGTCACTGGCAATTTTATTTTCATAACAAACTATAGAAAAAGTGCGATAGCATGATGGACAAACAATGCCATAAATGTTATGATTCATGCTATGAATGCTGCGGTGAGAACAGCATACACACCACTGAAGTATTTTATCCTCAGATCAGTGGATCCTAAACCTAAAGTTCGAAAAGGGGAAATAAAAAAACATATTTGCCATTCAAACCAGCCGACCTGGGAAAGGGAGCATCACTTGTTTTTGGTATAAGTTGGGGACCCTGCGATGGCACTGGAGCTGCTTTGTCACCGACACAGACAGGGAGACAGTGAATCAGCCTGTCAAGCTGGTAATGAGGTCTCTTGGCCAGACGAGCGAAACCCACGATCGCAGTAATGACACTGCATTTTTTTGTCTTTCTTCATTGGGAACCCAAAGCTGACGGGTTTCCTCTTGCAACCCGGTGAGGTCAGGGGGGTCATTGTGTTTTAAGCTGAGGAATAGACTGCTTCCATAGACCGGCATGTCATGAGACGAGGTCATACATGCGTTCATGTATGCCAGCTGTCTCCTTTTCAAGCCGTTACTCTCAATTGTGGCAACTTTAACCAAGTTATCCCTTCTTTCCCATCCACGAGGCCCCTCATTTATCCGGCAGACGAACCCATCTCAACAAAACGGCTCTCTGTCTGCTTGTCATCTTTATGGGACTTCATTAAGCGGAATTTATGATTTCATGTATTCTTCTGAGGCATTCCTTTATAGCTCCATATGTGTGTGTCTGTCTCTCTCTCTCTCTCTCTCTCTCTCTCTCTCTCTCTCTCTCTCTCTAGGCTTTCTGTAATTGTTTCCATCGAGCTGATGGCACACGGGACGACCTCCTCCACGCATACTCATACGAGCGTGTCACAGCCGTGGTATGCGGGGCATGCACGGCCCGGAGAATGATCTCCATCCATTCAGTGGGCTGAGCGTCCCACAGTGGAATACACCCTCAGGGTTCTGCACTCCTACCAAACCAACCACCACCACACTCCTCCATACATTCGCCCAAACCTGGCTCATATTGTCTGTGCAACTCAGTGGAAGCGATTCTCCTGTTGTTCTGTCAGCATTTCAGTGTTAATGATCTGTAAATGAGAGTATGAAAACTTTAAGCAACCATCACTCCAATCATTTTCTTCGTCTCTGTATGCTCAATGGGAAGCTAGCACCAGCAGCCGATTAGCTTAGCTTGGCCTGCAGACTGGAAACACTTAGCCTTGTTTTTACACATTTTTGGGTGATTTTAAAACCAGATAATACATGTTCATTAATGAGCTTTGGAGTAACATGTGTATTTGTTACATTTAGACAGAGACGGCTAGCTGTTTCCCTCTGTTTCCAGGCTTTGTGCGAAGCTACGCTAACCGGCTTCTCGCCACTATAGCTACATATTTAGCATACAGACACGAGAGTGGTGTGGATCTTCTCATTTCACTTTGTCTTACACACATATTAGTGCAGACGCAGACTTAATGAATGAGCACACACACACACACACTTGTGGTGCACACACCGAGGTGATGACAAGGCCTGATTTCCTTGAGAAAAATCGTGGCTGGAGGACTTCCCCTGTCCTCGACCTGCCTGCTTATTTCTGTCACGTTCAGCATGGCGCTTCTTCTCCTCTTCACACACTACCCCCCGAGCTAGTCAATGCCCCTGTTTGTGTGAGTGCCCACTTTGCATGGCCTGACACAGGATGAGCTCCCAAATCCCACTAAAAGCCTTCATTGTCTCTCTCTCTCTCTCTCTCTGCGAGACAACTGATGAGCATGACAAGTAGAAAGAGAGGAAAAAAGAAGAGAGAGAGGAGGAGGACTGGAGCGAGGGAGGAGAATCAGAAACATGTCTCTGGGGTTCCTTTTGCTTGAGGGAGGAGAAAAGTTATCTTCATGACAGTCACCTTGAACATATTACTTGGGCATATCAGCGTGATGAATATGTAATTTCCCTTGGTTCCTCAGTTCGTCAGCAATTCATGCGTGCACAATCACAAAAACAAGAGTGCGGTCTGTTTCCTGTGGATTTCCTATGTGAGACACTGATGGTTACAAATCTGGCGCACCGCTAACAGGCCCAAAAACCTCAATAAATTATGTTATGCCATCCTATGAGGCACAATCGTAACACAGCGTTTACAATAAGAAATATTGGTCCGGGAAAAAAATGGCCAAAAAGTGGATTATTATAGTACACGTTATAGTTCCAAAGCATTTGAATACGTCACAGATGTGGTATCCAAGCAAACATGTAAATTTCATTTCATAAGCCTGAGGTATAAACAGAACATTTGCATTGCCAAGCACCTAATTACAAGGAGAATCAGGTGCACAGCCCCCTTCACTGCCATGAATAGGGGTGCGTAGACTTAAAAGAAAGCCCTTTGTAATGCTAATTATTTTGATCAACTGGCTTATTGACTCCAAAAAGGCCCTCACCAGCAGGCAGCCACAAAGCTGCACATGGCTTGTGCAGACGATTCTGTCTGCCGGCCTCTGGCAGTGCCTCACGGAGGAGGAAGAGGAGGAGGAAGAGGATAGTACCTGGGTGTCCGATGCTCAGCCGAGCTTGAATGTTGGACTCGACTCATTGATAAAATAGTGGTTCGTCCAAACGCAACCTCTAAAAACCAACAGCAATCATTTTGATGCGAGTAGAGTTCCCCCCCCCCCCATCTCTCACTGTGCCTAAGGTGGCAGACATGAGCGACACACCCCTCCCAACATTTCTACGTGTGTGCAGACATGCCACAGAGCCGGTTGCCATGGCAACTGCTGCTTCCAGCGATGTCTCCGGCTGATGCTGTTTGGTGGGAACCCAGTGGAAGAGGATGCGGCTCTGCCGTTGTTTTTGTTTGCCTTATCATCCCCGGCTTGTTTATTTTGAGATGACTTTGACCCCCCCCCACACACAATTCTTTGCAGCCGAGCCTCTCAACCTCTGCGGCCGCGGAGAATTGAAGCGTGGTTTCCTTTTAACCTTTACCCTTCGCCGTCTCCCCAACAGACTCCATTTTTATTACTTCCTCATCATAAATTATTTTTCTCGAAGTGTTTGCTTCTCCACGTGTGCTTCTCTGGCATCAAGGCTTTGGTTGTTACCGGCAAATTCACCGAGCGGTGCTTTGTTTCCATCTGTGGTCACAACATGCGGGCCAGGTAGAGAAGGCAGCGAGGGATGGAAACAGATGGCGAGACAAGAAAAAAGGGAGGGTGAGGGGTTAAGAAGTGCAGAAAGCGTTGATGAGTGAAGCAGAGGGAGAGTATATGGGGCTGGGCATAATGTGTATGTGTGTGTGTGTGTGTCAGACAGGGGCATACAGTAGCAAGGCAGCTCATCCCCACTGCCAACGGCACTGCGGCGTTACTAGGTCAGTGTGCCGTCATCTCATTCATCATTATCACAGCCTGCTCGTCCTCCTCCGCTCTCCCTCCTCATCCCTCCCACACATTCTTTGCACTTGCTCTCTTCTTCCCACAATGGGAGACACGCCAAGCTTCGGAGGGCAGAATGGGAAAGTAAAACGCACTGAGGCACGCCTGAGCAGGGAAACAGCGAAATCATCTTCCTCTTATGAGCAGACAAAAACAACAAAATTGTGCATCACAGTGTACGCCGAGTCAGATAAAATCAATACTATCTCTCATATCTGTGCGCCTAATGGCGCCAGGGGGGTTAGCTTAGCATGAAGACAGGAGAAAACAGCTAGCTATTTCGTTTGGTTACAACAACATAAACCAAAGTGAGTAAAGACAACAATGCGCGGTTTTTACGGGTACTTAGGCGCCACACAGGTTTCTTGCCCAGGTCGGAGCCGAGTGACTTCAAGAAGACTCCGCTGGTCGCCTGACAAGAACTTAGGCTGAGGCCTTGGAAAGGCACGTAAGGCTGGAAACCTAGTGACCCCTGCTAAAGACACGCGACTCATTAGAAAAGTGTCAATAATATAAAAATGACCGTTCATCACATACACGTCTGTCAAAAAAAGAAAAATCGCAGGACGTCAGATGTCCCGTGAGAGACAGAAACCAACTATCCCCGGGTTAATTCAGTTTAATTTAGCAGGACACACTCCAGAACCAATAGAGCACTATGGGCTGTAACTCATGACAGCTTTGCATTCCTGCATATTAGAGAAGGGCCTGAGTGATATCGGTCCACACAGACATCTCCCCTGCTGCTCAGGAATAACTGGCAGCAAGAGTGGCGTTTGTTTGGTACACACAAAGACATTTATACGACAACAAACACTTGGGTGCAGCCACATGCAAATTAATCCCCCCCCCACCACCACCGCTACACACACATACAGACTCATTAGCTCACTTCTGGGTTGTCTGCTAGCTGGGGCTTTTTTGTTTTTGTTTTGGCCAATCTGTGAGATCATCACTCTCTCCGAGCCCCCGTCAGTTTTTGCCTCTCCCCCGGCTCCTGAACCCCCCCGCCCCTCCTCCTCCTCTTCCATCCTCATTGTAATGCAGATTTAAGGGTCGGGTGGGGGATGGGAGCCGAGAGAAGAGGTTTGTGTGGAGAGGCTGTGGTTGGTGTTAAGTATGACCTGGCAGCCCTGCTGGGCCTCAGCAGGCGGTCCGGCGTGGGCTGGGTGGGGGAAGGGGAGCCCGAGAGAGAGCGAGAGAAAGAGAGAGCTTTGAGGGTTATCCGACAGCCTGGACACATGACTCAGACATCAGATAGCAACATCATGGCCTCTTGAAAAAAGATGGCAGACGCGCCGCTCGTAT